CTTAAAAACCATATTAACTTATCTAATTTCAATATATTACTTCAAAATTATTTATCTAAATACCATGATAATACAATTCCAAATCAATCACCTACTCTTTCTCATCTTAAAAATGAACTTCATCTTACCAAAACTGCTCTCAATCATTATCAAAACCAAATTACTTATAATGAAATCAAACAAAAAATTGAGAATCGAAACAAACTTTTTTCTGAAGCTCCCAAACTTATTTACAAAAAAATTCTCAAAAAATACAACAACATACACATAGATAGATTACTTACTAATGATACACTTTTAACTGAACATGATGAAATACTCAATGCAGTTCATTCTCACTTTATCACCTATTTTAAAACAAAACCTCTTGAAACTATCTCACCATCTAGTGAATACTTTGATCTTTATAAACTACATCCTGAACTTGAAAATTACTATCAGAACCTAACTCAAGAAATTACACAGCAGGAATGGCAAGAAATAATCTCTAACCTTCCAAACCAAAAAGCAGCTAGTCCTTCTGAAATTTGCTATGAACATATTAAATATGCAAGTCTCAAAGTATAAAATTTTTTCAGACTCTTCTTAAATAAATGCTTCCAACTTCAAAAAGTTCCTACTGAATGAAAATCCTCTAACATTTTTTTTATTTCCAAAAAATCTAATTGGAATTATATACTTACTCAAGTGTGTCCTATATGCATTATCAAATTCTTCAAAAAAACCTTTACAAAAATCTTTACATCCAGACTAGATAAAATCATTACCTCTAATAACCTTCTTTCTAATCTCAATTTTGCTGCTTTCAAAAACTCTTCTACCCATATTTCAATTTAAATATTATATAATACAATCGAACATTACATAGTTAATAAGAAAGAAGCTTAAATATTATTTCAAGATATGTTTAAAGCCTTCGACAAAATTAATATAACAAAACTTCAAGATGCCTGTAAACAAATTAGTATTCCAATTTCTGGTATAAACCTTATTACAGAATTACACACTTCTCGACTTGCTCAAGTTATTACTAGTCATGGTCTTACACATCTAGTACAGATCAATTCTAGAATAGAACAAGGAGAAACCTACTCTCCCTTACTTTGGAAAATCTATTATGATCCTATTTTTTTTTTTATTAACCAAAAATATAAAAATCAATTTCTTAAGATATCTGCACAATTATTTCTTGATATTATTTCTAACACCCCTGCCCAATCAATCACTATCCTCCCACTAGCCTATATGGATGACACTACTTGGCATTGTGAAGACTCAACTACAATGCAAAACATTCTTAATGATACATTTATTCTTTACAAACTTAATAACATTGAGATAAACCCTACCAAATCTGACCTTCTTTACATTAAATCCAAATCATCTACCTCATCTTCATTTATATTTACTGTTAATAATCAAACTATTTCTCCTAGGAAGGCCCAAGATGTCATCCAATATTTAGGCATATTCTATGATGGAAGGTTTGAGGTTATTGGAGGTGAGATAGAAGTGATCATAGTGAATCTGAATAAGTGATTATGAAGTTGGTAAAAGTTAGTTTGTTGAAAATAGTTTTGTTGAGAAAGAAAATTTGGTTGATTGTTACTGTAGAAAATTTTAAAAGGAAAGAGATGAGCTGAGGTAAAGGGAAGAAGATCTATTGAATTAATAAAGGAGTTTTTAGAGGGAAGAGTTAGGTGAGACCAGGTTATAGTAATATTGTTGTTTTGGTTATGAGAAGAGATTTGAGTAAACCATGTTGGTTGAGGACCTTGTGTAGGTTTATTTGTTCATAAATAAATATTATTCTATGGAAAAAGATGTAAATTGTTTGCTATTGTGATTTGTTCGAGAAAGAGAATTTTATTGTTTTTTAAGCTTGTAATAGTTGGATTAGATAGTTTTGAGGGAAGTATTTCATATATTGTATGATAGTTAGTGAAAATTTCTGATGAAGGAAGAAAGTTAGAGAGTGAAATAT